TTTCAAACGATTCAAGAAAACTTTCGTTCTTAACTAATTCCACCAAGTCAGATTTCATTAAAACTTCATAAACAGTTAATTTTTTATTTTCATACTCCAGAATGTCATTCTTAAAAACCTCCGTTTTTTGTTGAAATATAGCTGAGCGAGGTAAAAATAAATCATCATGACAACTGGAATATTTTTGATCTACACTATCAACCAATGTTACTTCTTCAGAATTTACCGGAAGTCCAAATTTAATCCTCAATTTAATATTTTCAATGATAAATTTAATCGTGAAATCATCAGAATATCCCATATTTTCCACATTTATAGACTTCAAATTAACATCTCGTACGATCATCACAAATTCAATTCTTCTAGCACGACACAAATAGTTCAAAGGATGCTTAGCAGAATCTGGAAGAGTTGCGTAGTACAAAGGCCTTGCTAACAACAGTTTTTCTTGTCGGGGTAATAGATACTCAACCATATGACACTCGTGCTTATACGCCGCCATGTTAATCAGTAGAGAGGCCGGATTTTCGCCGATTAACTTATTAACATCCGCGCCTCCGTCGGCAAGGGCTTTTAGAATTTGGAGCCTTTTCTGACCTATCCTTACTTCGTTAATCCTCGGCGAACGATGACACAGACACGTGTTTTGATTGAAGAGATAATGCACTGCAGCGATACCATGACCATCCCGATGATTTATCTCCTCTTTGCTCAGTCTAGGCACCAACATTCTGATAATCTCCAAGGAATGATTACCAACAGCACACATCAATAACGATCTTTTGTCCGCACTTTTGATCGTCACATCAGCTCCTAACCCGATCAAAACTCTTGCCAACTCAACTCTGTCATGAAGTACCGCGAAAGTTAACAATGTGATGCAGTTTCCAAATTCACCTCGCCACTTTGTTTCTTTGTAATAATTATCAAATAACACTTTTTCCACTTTTTCTTCCACGCTGATATTCCGGGTCATCAATAAATGTTCGACGATGCTGACTTTGTCGAAGAACATGGCCAAATCCAGAGGCTTAAGACCTTTAAACAAAATTGAATTGTCGCGAATAACTTTTTCTATTATCACCAAATCATTTGACAGGATCGCGTGTCTTAATTGTTTATGCAAGTAGTGATATTTCTTGGTGAGTAAGAGTTGCGAAGGAGTTTCTTTGCACATTTTTTGTTCGGTTGTTTAAAAAAAAATATTAAAAAATTGCACTAGAAATTCAATAATTATTATCACTCTGAGGATTGTCAATGAATAATTGTTAACTCAAACGTTGATTTTCTTCCAAAAATTGAAAACGTGCGTCGTTTAGCTATCTAGTTTATCTACTTTTGAAATTGCGACCTTACACTTAAGTGAGTACTTGTCGAATGCTTATGCAAATGAAATTTCTTGCTATTTATAGAAAAAGTTACTATAGACTTGTAAGAAAAAGTTACTATAGAGATCTTTAACTGTAGAACAATTACAATTAGGGATGCCCTCTGTACAGTAATTTAAATTAAGGGTTTTGGAATAGAGAGGGGATAATGATGCTCAAATGAAATTTCAGGTACAAAATGACACGTATAATTAGGGATCCCAAACATTTAGTGAAAATATGTCTTCTTTTAAAGTACTTACAAATAAATTTAAATATTAAATTAAAATTTAACTGGGTCTTCTTTTTTCTATTCATGCTAACACACCTGAATGGCTTGAAATTTTATACCTGATTGTCTTCACTGACCTCTGCTGGGATTTACCCCTCAATATTATCTAAAAATCTTAAGATTCTCATTAACAATAATTATTGCTCTCGCAAATTCAGTTCTTGTTTAAAATGCATTATTTAAAATAAATTTACAATTTAACTTATTTGTTGTGTATTTGCTATAATCCTTGTATACTCAAATTTTAGTACAATTTACTTCTTCAGAATCGGTTACTGAAGAAAAGCTTAACTATAATAATATATGACTTGTAATTAGCAATGAAAGTATTCCTGTAATAAGGGCTTAGGAATGCAAACAAAGTAATTTTTTTTTGTCACGCCGTTGTTGGCCTTCCAGCTGTTGGCTGTTATTTAATTCATTATATAATGAAATAAATAAATAAATGCTTCAATTAAATTTTCAAGAACACAATTTCAATAATAATTAAGTTAATTAATAATAAAATAACAAGTACCTTTTTTTTTTTTTTTTTTTAATTTATTTATTTAAAGTCGCCTTAACTTCTTGGTCATTAGCGACTACAATTACAGTATATAATTTTAGTTCATTATAATCACTTAAGTTATATGTCTTTCATTATATTTAACTCGTTGAGGAAGTCGATGGTCCTGGAACAGCCGCTGGTAGTACTAAGGCACTCCTTCATGCCCATGGGGAGTTTCACTTTTATTCTAACAAGTACCTTTATTTGTAAATATAAAAAATATAATTTTTTTAAATATTTCAAATTTATTCAATTAATGTTCAAGCTTTACAATTTTCATTTTTTTTAATTTTCTGATTAAATTTCAAGAAATTGGTCAATCAATTCAACCATCTGCTGATTATAATAAATTATATGTTACTGATTTCTGAACAGCAATGAAACTTTTATCAGAAAGTTTAAAGAATAGAAATTTCTGATAAAACTACTGACAGTAAATGAGAAATTCTCATCAGTAGATATTGTAGTAATGCTGAACATTCCCAAAAGCTTTGTGAAGTTTGAAAGTCTCATAAGAATAATAAAATATATACAATTTGATTTTTGAAAAAATTTTAACTTTACAAATTTCATTTTAAAATATTATAAATTTTTAAACTCTTAAATTTTAGCTAAATTTACATTAATTGAAGAATAAACTCAGAAAAAGAATCAATAAAAAGAAGCTCAACAAGGAAAATTCAATCGAAAAAAAATATACTTTTTTAGAATTATTTAACATCAAGTACACTTTTAGTCCTTAACAAATATTTCTTAGTATTTAAAAAGATTTATTAATATTTAATAAATGAATATCAGATTTATTAAATACAAATAAATAATTTTAAATACTAAGAAATATTTGTTTAATACTAAAAAGTAATCTCTAATAAATGATTTGTTAACTATTACCAAATATTTTTTAATACAAATAAATCCTTCTATCAGTGTATTAATATAACAATTATGAGCTATATAAAATACAAATTTCTCTAAATAAATCTCAATAATTTATATTGAATATTTTCAGCATGTATGTTTTTAAATTATCCATCATTACACAATTTCTACGATACTCGTTAAACTACATAATAACGTTTTATTATAATTTTAATGATGGGATAATCGCACAAAAAATAATTGCCAATTAAAAACTCCTTTTTTTACAAACGAAAAAGCGTTGAACATATTTAAAATCAAATATAAAAAGTATGTTTATTTAGGCTCTCGATGTTACCGAGCTTTTCCCTACATGTCTCTTTTTCATCCATCTTTGCATAAGCTAATACTCAGGTATGGAACTCAGGATGTGTTTGATCCCCGTGATCCACAAATGGTGTAGTATGAGAGCTATTACGACGGCGCGATCGTCGACACTCATTTAAAAGTCGGCGGCAGTTGTGGCCCGACTACTGAATCACTTTGTCCTGACGCGTCCTACCGTCAACTTATTCCACTTACTGCCAAAGTATCAAAAACCTTCAGTAAAAATCACTCATTATACTAAGCACGTGACAATCAGTGTGACAATTTATGTTTTTATATCAACGAGTGACAAAAATTATTTTTTTAGTTACTGAGTGTTTCAAGTTTTTGATTTTTTGTACGAAAAAAAATTGTGTCTATTAATTTTTTTTTTAATTAATTTCATACCAAACTTTTAAAAAAAAATTGCAAAATTATTTTTGAACTTTAAAAAAATTAAAGTGTACGTGAAGAGTTAATTTTAAAGAAAGTTTCGCTCAAAATGACAAAGCATGAGTATTTTAATAGACTTTTATCTATTTTCCAGTTACGCAATAATTGAAGGACAAAAGAGTTACTAATCAGTGGTCACTTTGTTACCCTGAACAAAACCTTTGCAAACATGGATCCTGAAAAAGCGAAACAACGTAAAAACAAAGAGTGTTTTCTAAAGACTTTGTTGTAAAAAAAAAAAAACTTTGTTCTTGATTAAAAGATACTGTTTTATTAATTAACTTTCATTAGAACAATAGAACTCTAAAAGCTTTGTATTTGTTTCATTTCCTCGTAAAGTGCAATCCAAATATCCTCACACAAAGCTTAAACCAAGTTTACCGAAGCTGTTTCGTATTTATTGCTTGGAGATAAACTTTTCACCGCTTAAGCTACTCGAGAATTATCTGGACTGTTTAAATTTTAATATAGTTTGCAGTTTATTAAAAGTCCACCCACCTGTGCCAATATCCAACAAATAGATAGATAAAAAATCAATAACAAATTTTGTTTTACGATTAATAAAATCGCAAAACTTTTTTTACTGACTAAATTTATATTTATACTAATATTTTGTTTTATTTTCTTAAGCTAACCTTTGTTGATTTTGATTAACAATGCCTCGAATTTATACGCACCGGGTGGTATTTTATTTGGCAAGTCTTGTACGCTAAATAAAGATCCAAATCAATACAAATGATAATTTATCAGTGGGAGAAAAAGAAATCCGGAATGTTTGAATTGGACCCAAGAAAAACAACGAAAAATCCAAGGCAAATATTTATCACTTATGCTTTCATATCCATTGAAATAATAAAATGAATATTTTTAAATATTTAAAGTACATCGATGATGATAATTTATTTTTATTATTATGAAGAAGTATATGTATATAAAATTAAGAAGAAATAATAATAATAATATTACTTGATAGTAAACATTCTTAAGAATGATACAATATTGTACTTAGGATTAAAGTTAATCCTAAAGCGGCAATATAAGTTACCGCTAATGATTTACAAAGCAGCCCAACTTTTATTAATTTATTAATAAATTTTTAATACCGTGAAAGAAAGTAATGCTGGAAGAAATGGACGGTTTTTCAAATCAAAATAGTTCCCGGTGGTGGGACACGAGCATCAACACTACTAACTGTACATCGATGGATCTAAACTGTGATGAGTATCCTTCTACTGGAGAGCTTAATGAAAGCATGGTAAAAGTGGTTGTGCCTATATTTTTCGGGATTATTGGGTTACTGGGATTAGTAGGCAATTCGCTGGTGGTAATTGTAGTCGCGTTGAACCCCGGAATGAGATCGACCACTAATATTTTAATCATCAATCTGGCTATTGCTGATTTGCTCTTTGTTATATTTTGTATACCATTTACTGCTACCGATTACATCCTTTTGTACTGGCCGTTTGGTGACACTTGGTGCAAAATTGTACAATATTTAATTATTGTCACTGTATGCGCCAGTGTCTACACTCTGGTTTTGATGAGCCTTGACAGGTGAGTTTTACTTTAATTTTTTGATTATAATCTTAAAAATCAGAAATTTGAAAAAAAAAAACTTATCTGGGTTCAAATTCTTTTTTTTTTTAAGTTTTTTAAAATGAAAAATTTTGTAGAAATTACAAAATTTTTTTTCTGAAAAAGAAACAAAAATTTGATGGTTTTTATGCTAATCAGTTTTTTTCAAGAAAACTTATTTCTTCTCAAGTTTCAACACCGATTTATTAATCTATTAAATGTTTACAATTCATCAATACTTTTCAGACAGTTTTCCTCCTAACTTTGCTCAAGGTATTGATTAAAAAAAAAAAAAAAAAAAAAAGTATTATTTCTGTCATGTCAAAGTTACGGTCGTTTAAATATGCAGGATTACGCAAGCCCCGATGAAACTGATTTAAAAAACTAAAGATGTGGGGCTGCTGAGGGTTAAATTCATCGAGCGAGTGGCATATTCTAAAAAATTTTTCACTTTGATTTTTATATTTTTCTCCTCTTACAATTCTAATTATAAAAAAAAAATTTGCATTGCAAGCGATTTTAAGAATGACTTATACAAAAAAGTTTTAGTCATATACATTTAACACCTCCTGAGGCTTTAATTAGCCTCTTGAATAAGTACTGCAAAATTATGTCTATTGTAATTTTCTTAATGGCTCATTATAACTTAAAGGGTCATTGTTATGTACGAATGTCATTTAAAATGCAAAGAAGGATACTCTGCTGTAGAAGTTTCAACTGTAACAACTTTATATTTTTAGAACAAGTTTTATTATAATCCAGTTGTTTGAATCAATTTCTATAAAAATGAACTTTTGAATTGAATTCTGCTCTGAAAAAAACTTGCTGATTTTTTTTGTTTATATATTTTTTTAAAAAATGTTTTAGAATGGGTTTAAATACACTTTTTTTTTTTTTTTTTTTTTTTTATAAGTAACTTTCAATATTTGTAATGAAGAACCTTTTTCTAAAGTCAAGAAAATAAAATCCTTAAAAAAAAAAAATCATTGTTAATTGAAAAAAAAAAAAGAGCTTTTCGATAAAATATTTGATTGTAAATTGAAAAAAAAGTAAATTTGATTCAAAATAAAAATTTTTGACCCAAAAAAATAATTTTGAAAAATTATTATAAACGGAATTTGGAAAAATTTTTATTTTAAAGATTTTTTAGCCGGGTTAAAACAAAAAAAAAAAAACAGTAAGAATAGTGAGAAAATTTTCAATCAGTCGTCATTTTTTTAAAAATTAAAATTTTCAAAATTCCGTACGTGCGACGATAACTACATCCTTACTGATTAGAAAGCAATTTGGGTTTTTATTTTTAGATGATCCGTTTTTGAGTTATCGAACCGACCATGGAGGGGGAAATTTTTTCTAGTGTTCTACGAGATTGTTAATAACTTTGTAATAATTAAATATTTTTTAATAAAAATTTAGGATACCCGTACTGCAAAAAAAAAGTATGTGGCGTATATATTTTATATGTGCGACGTATATGTATTTTTTCCAGCATATATGCGCATATATATTTTTTCAGTGTGGGTAATAATCTTTAATGTACCCTTAATAAAATAAAAAAAATCCGATCCCCAAATTCCTTTATTTTCCCTTTCAAAAAAATTCCCGAAAATCACCTTTTTTTTTTTATCGTCACAGTGGTGTTCCCCCTTAAAAAAAATAAACTCTTGAAAACAATTTTCTTAGATCATGTAGTTTTTTTTTTCAGTACGTGCGTAACACTTGTACATATTAGATTCAAATCATTAGCATAAAACATTTCCGTAACGACAGTATTAAATTCAAAAGAAAAATTACATTAATCATAATTAAATAACGGATTCAATTAGCAATAAATCTAAATTTAAGCGTAATAACTAAAAAAAAAAAAAAAAAAAAAAAAAAAAAAAGATTTCCCTCGGATTCCTTCGGCAGGAAAATAACTTGAAATTTCATAAGATTGAATTTGATCGTTTTAATGAGATATTTATTTATAGAGTGATATTGGAAGCCATGTATATAATATTACATACATTTATTATCTTACCCTAATATAAATTATCATGATTCTTTCATGAACGTAAATAATCACCTCGAGCTATCCTCGTAACACGATGTTTATTCAATCTTACCGAGCGTACCATCTGTTGTCTGTAAACACAAAAAAATCAATAGCACATAATCGTGATAATAGTAACTGTAAAATTGTTTTATCCTTATCTCTGGTGAAGCTTCACGTGTGAACGATTAAACTTAAACAATTGGGGAGAAACTTAATACCCACTTGTCCTAGGAGTACCCTTGATATAAGTTGCCTATATATAAGTTGTCAGAAAAGATATTATCAAGAATAATAATAACAAAGAAACTTTTTGTTTTATGCAAGGTACTTGGCAGTCGTACATCCAATAGCCTCTATGACTGTGAGAACAGAAAACCACGCCTTCCTGGCGACTTGTTTTGCGTGGTTAATTATTCTAACAGCGTCTATTCCCGTGCTTATTATCCACGGTGAGGTGAGTCATTTTTTTTTTTTCTTTCTACCAAGAACTTCTGGGCATAGATTCATCCTTAATCCGTATTGTATTTATTACATCAAGCGGAGCTTTATTGTAAGCTGAGTATTCACGTAATTGTAGGGAGAAGTACTTTTTTATGTAAATTATTAAGAATTTAGTTTTGGTTCATGTTGAAGTAAATAGTCGAGATGCAAATCAGTGAAACTAACTAATTTTTTGAGATTTAATTCTAAGATTAATTGTTATTGCAAAAGCTTTGTTAGTTTTAAATAAAAAAGGTGGGATCAAACTAAAGATTAGACTTTTGTAATTGTTTTAAAATTGCTGAAATATTGAGTTCGTCTACAAAAATCATTCTCTTTGTGATATTATATTTTAAATGTTTTAAATTTGTTTTATTCTGAAAGTAAAAGTTTTCCTTTTTGAGTAACATTTGGTGAACACATTTTTACCCTTGAGAAAGGTTTTATTTTATGATTTCGGAGAAAGATAGTTTAAAGCACTCGAACTACGAGTCATAAAAACTAGGTACAATTCGAGTATTGTATAGACTGCATAAACACTAAATGTTACACGATGTAAAAAGGACAACTGTAAAAATATAGTTGTAAGTAGTTAGTTCTCTCTGATCCTTGATGGTGTTAAGACACACTTCCGAAAACTCTATTTCAATAAATGAAAATCTTCCAATGAATAAAATCTTCAATCATTATAAAGAATACACTGTCACATATCCATAATCCCAACAAAAATTGAGACGATAGATTTATATGATTAAGTTAATGAAAAAGTCACAATAGTGCTTTTATGAAAATTATTTATGTGAAAAATAAATTAATACTGATAAAAAATCGTGAACTGAAAAATTTTTCTCGAAGTGAATTTTTTTTCAGAACAACTTTTGCCCGATTTTTTTGTATTGTTTTCATTATAATTTAAATAGATGAGAAATACATGTGCAAAAATATTTTTCAAAGTGTATAAAAAATATAGTTATGGAAGTATTATATATAGGGTAGAAGTACCGTTTTTGGCCACCTTAGCATCGTTTTTGGCTAGTTAACATTTGAATTAATTTATAAAAAATTATAATGTTATAACCATATTTTTGTAGAGTTTTAAAAAATTTATATTTAAACAAATTGAGTTTCTAATGGTTTATAATTATAAATTCATTTCTATCATTTATTTGAACAATAAACGGTACAGTGGCCATAAACAGTATAGAGTACTTCTACCCTAATTTCAAATAAATTTCTTAATATTTTTAGACATGCATTTTAATCATAGTTAAAATATATAAAATATTCACGAAAATCAGCCAAAAGTTTGCTATTGAAAATATATTTTATACGTATATTATTATATATTATTATTTTTATATGTTACTTATTTTTAATATATTTTTTAAACAAATTTTTTTAATACATGGAAAAAAAGAGAATAATTACATTATAAATAGCCATACCTGGGCTATAACGGGTAATTGTAACGCCGTAAGGCAACAATTAAAATTTAATAAATCATAATAATAATAATAATTACATAATAAAAAACTAGAAAAATTGCAGTTCGAAATAACATTTTTACAAATTCAAAATTTGAATGTTAATTTTCAAAGCTTTCAATGTAATATTTACATTTTACAATGTAATTCTTACAAAATCTGTAATAATTACAATCTAAAACTATAATTTTTCCAGTTTTTTATATGAAGCGCCACGTTAAATTATATAATATAATTTTTCTCTTTTTTCTCCGTGTAGAAGTCGATAAAATGCTCAACATTGAATCAAAACTAAATTCTAAATGATTTACATTCAAAAATTCCTTCTTTCTACAATTAAAATAACTAATAATAACATCAATACTCCTAGCAGAATAATATTAATTATAAAAAATAAAAATATCTCCAGAAGTTCTAAAAATTACGTAAAAAGGTTCAAGGAACTCGGAAGTTAATTTCTGCAGATTTATCCGTCATTACAGCGACCAAGTAGTCAAAGACCAAACCAAATGATGTGTCGAATCCGCCTCGACGATCGAGTGGTTTTTCAAGTAACATTTTTTTTATTGAGCTACGTGATCCCTTTAACGCTCATATGTGGTCTCTACATATGCATGCTCATAAGACTGTGGCGCGGGGCACGTACCAGTGCTGAAAGTCGCCGGGGTAGAAGGAGAGTAACTCGGCTTGTAATTGTCGTAGTTGGAGTTTTCGCCTTTTGCTGGTGTCCTCTTCAGGTCAGTTCTTATTTTTATTTTATAAATTTTTTCACGTGCAACAAAACATGCAAAATTTAATTGAATTGAATCAATTTTATTTTAATTGTTACAGTTGATATTAGTGGCAAAATCACTAGACTTTTATCCGCTGTCAACGGCGTCAGTGATGTTCCAAATCGCGAGTCACGTATTGGCGTACATGAATAGCTGCGTCAATCCCATTTTGTATGCTTTTCTGAGTGAAAACTTTCGCAAAGCCTTTAGAAAAATAATTTACTGTAGACCGAGATATAATCCTCAAGGAATTGGACCTCCTACGAAGACCACCAGAGCTGCTAGTAGTGGTGATATACTTTAGGTATGCTATTTTTATAATCTATTAATTTAACAATTATTATTGAATTTTTATTTTTATGAAAAATCCTTATTTTTTAAAACAATTTTTTATTCCATTTTTTGTCTTCGAAAAACTTTTAAGCTTTGCCAATTTTTTAAAATATAAATCCTCGTACCTCTATTTATTTGAAGAAAAAAAAAACTATCGCCACTGTCGAGCCAACTTAGTAAAATATTTTTAAGCGAATCCATAAAATATAAAAAATTTCACTATTTCACCAGACTTTTACTCATAAAACACTCCCGACCTTATACCCTTGTAGGGTATTAATATTTAAAAAAAAAAATGTATTATTTCTAGTTCAAGTACTTTATTTTTTTTTTTTTTACGGGGTGAAAAAATTAAAAATAATATAATAAGAAGGTTCATCGACTCAACTTAATAGCTTAATTTTTTTTTAGTAATTAATTTATGAGGATTTTGTTAATTGTTTTTGCTCGTTAAAATTTAAGGAGCTTGATTTAAAATGAAAGTATCAGAAACTGAAGTATCTATTGTAGTTCAGAAGCAAGCGTAAATTACGAGTAATATATCGGTATGCTTTTCTCTGATCACCAAAATGGCAGATGATAGAAGGGATAGGAGGGTCGAAATAAGAAATGACTTGTATTGGTTCGTATATATTGTAATCGTCTGATTGAAGAGTATAGTCTCAGTGGCATTGTTACGAAATTTTATGGTATATAGAGGTAGGGAAAAAGGGAAATAATAAAGGAAAAACGTGTTGGTTTATAAATAGTCTTAACGTTTTTTTATTTTTCTTTTTTTATCATCACGGAAATGTATTGCGATCAATACTTTGAAAGTAAATTAATTTTCGTAATACCAACTGCAATAAAAGAGGAAAACATCAACTGCGTTTTATTACGTAATTTAGTTTATTTTTAGCACATAGGTCATTATTTGGTAAATTCCCGTACACTTAACTCGAGAAGATGAGTGCTTAATACATAAATCTCTTATGATAATTGTTAAACTTTTCTCGTTATACTTTTTTACCTCACGTACATCAGTATTTGGGTTTAAATATAATGAATCTTTCCATCTTCATAAAATAAAGAAAAAAAATTTTCTTTTTCATTGGAATTTTTTTACAGTAAAATTGAGATCAGGAATTACTAATCAGTTATTTGTACTAAAATTACGAGCTAAGCTGAAGATAATCTAAACTCGTATTTTATGTTCTTGATTGAAAAAACTAATTGCTTTGATCTGTGACGATTGATGATGAGCAAATAATTTTTAATGACCAAATATGTGCGTTGCAATGTTCAATTGATTGATTGAAAAATAATTGCTGCGGATTTTACTATCAAAATTTTTGTTAATCCGAAAATAATGAGTTAAGAGCTTTTTCTACTTTCATATCACGCGTGGGATGTTTTTAATTCTCTGAAATGGAAAACTTTACGTGGACAACAATTGACTTTTAATACTTTGCTTGATTGAAATATTTATTTTACTAAAACGATTCAATTATTTGTTGTTTATTCTTTCATTCAATTAATTGTTGTGGAATTTGTAATAATGTTAAGCCGAGCTTTTGAAATTTCTGTTAACGAATTAAGTTTGAGTCAAAGGATATTAAATTTGTTGTGTAGCATCCTACAATTGTAGAGGGAAATCCTTGATTTCAAACGTGGGGTCCGAGGACACTCTCTTTGAGAGAAACTATCTATTTCGCCCGTTGGATTTAAATGTTAGCATTGATTGCGTCAAAGACTATTTTACTCAGTACTAAATTTTTCATTAATGTGAAAACTTGTTTCATGTTAATGTTTGCAATTATATGGACATTGCGTTGAATGATATTTTTTTTTTATTTGAAAAATATTTTAGACAGTATAAAAAAATTTTAAAAGATTTACGACATTGTTTCAAAAAATTATAATTTCAAATGAATAATAATTTTATTTTATATAAAAAATATTTTTAAAAATTGCATTTATGATTTATATAAATTTCTTTATATGTAATTTTTTTTTTATAATTAATTCGTTAAAAAAAATTATAAAAGTTAACACATAAATTTGAAAAAAAAAACCTTTAACTTTAATAATAAAACTTTAAAAAAATTTATTAATTCAATGCTCAGTAAAAAAATCTCGAAACTTTTTTTCAGTATAAAAAATTTTATTTTTGTTTTATCTTTTATAACGTAATTAGATTATTCAACTTTTGCAACGCTTGCATACAATATACAGCAGTAATTAAATGAACTTTTTAAATGCTGGTATATTATATTTTTCTGAAGTAAATATCAAAGTGCACTTCAATATTTAATTGCTCAATTAATAGTTAATTTATATAATATACGTAAGAATAAATATTAAATTAAGGTAGAGTGTGAAGTCTAAGGAAATATTTACAATTAATTAAAATGAATAATTACCATGTAAAATTTTTAACTTCTTTTTCAACACAAAAAAATTTTTCCTTGGATCCAAAAAAAAAAAATCACTTAGAATTTTTTTCTCGCGCTAATTGCCGTTGAAAAAATTTTCTTTTTTTCTCAAGTACTAAAAAAAATTACAACTGACTGAAAATCGATTTATTGAAATCGGAAAAATTTTTATGATAAATAAATTTACCGAACGCGACTATTGTTTACTCCTTCAGAGGATTACTGAGCATAAATAATTAATACAAAGAAACTAATGACGATGACTAGACAATGTTGTACTAGGACTATACTACTCCGGGTCTCCTCAAAGGGTCCTGGAGTAAAGAAAGAGGTCTCGGGGCTTAAGATATTCGCTTACATTAGAGAGTCTGAAAATATTAAAGGTAGGCTTCATATTTTCCGATGTACTCCACTTTGCTGGGGACCCTTCTCTACAAAAAACATTAATAAAACATAATGCGATACAATGATAAATACATTTTTCAAGTTGTAAGGAAGATAGTGAGCGTAAAAGGAATAATACATCAATCAGTTTGATACTCATGAAAGATATGGGGAGCCAAGAGTTTGTCAAATAAAACGAAATTTCTTCAAGACAATGTTAAGAAAAGAATTATATATGTTTTGCGGCAAACTACACTGGATATCATATTACATGTCCTTTTTTTTATGATCGAATTCTATTCGACTTTATTTATTTCAAAATATCATCTTTGATTAGTTTTTCATTTTTATTTTGACCTTAACGATAATATGATATTGCAAAATTTAAGCTTGTTCTTCCGTTATATTGCATATCATACTGTCACAACAAAGTAAACAAATTTTATCGATTTAGGGCTTTTAACGTAACCATGTATCTCAAGTTTTTGTAGTTTAAAGTTTCAACCCAAAAAGATAACAATTATCTAAAAATAATAATTGATAATTAACTATAAATGCGTTATTAAAAATAAATATGAAATGTAACAATTATTATGACAATGTGTTTAATAAGATAAAACTTTTCTTCACTCAAAAAAATTTTGATTCGCTAAAATAATTATTATTATCTTCATAAATATTTTTTGAATTTTTCGTAGGTTGCCTCAAAATTTTCCATTTTTAAAATACGAGGTTCTGTTAGAAAATAATTAGATGAGTTATTTTAAAATATTTTCAATTATTATCGAATCTATATTATTAAGAGAATAAGAAAAATTTTGTGTTCAAAATAGTCATATGATAAAATCATTTTTTTTAGTTTTTTCAAGGTTTCATATCATTCTCACCGATAGTCAATTTATGATGATAAGTATTTAGGCTGCATTCTAAAATGCTCTATTTCTAGATACGTAATTAAAAAATGAGCTTGTAGCTTGTAACTATTGACATTTTTAAAGGTATAAGCTCACCCCGGCATTACACTCATCAAGACCTTTCATTTAGAATACCTGCAATTTAACAAAAGTCATTATTTAATAAAACAAAATTTTATTTATTTATAGTTCACAAGTCACGGCAGTCACATATTGACTGCAAGGTTGCTAGTTTTGATTATTCTTCGATATATTTTAATAAAAATTTCACTATAACAATCATATATTTTTAATAATTACAAAGGCACCAAAAATAGTCGAAGAATTGAGTTATAACTCAGAGTTACGTCAGAGTACCTTCTACATGCAAAATCACGTCGTACTTCATACCGCCAGTTTTATTTATCTTATTTCAATTTTACTCGAAGCGATTCCGAGGTAAAGTGAACACGATACTTTTAAATCCAACAAAATACGCTTCGAGCAAGTACCTAATAAAGATCAAACTTTTCAATTGAAAAAGTAATATAAAACACAGACTTATTCGAATCCTACACAATTGTAACCATTAACATTTATATTGTTTGAATTTAAGTTGTAAAATTTTTGTATCCAAAATATTCATTTTCTTTGAACATAACTATAAAAGAATAAAACATCTACTTATTGCTTTATGATTAATGTCATTTCGCTTTCAAATCAGTTTATTGATTTTAGCATAAACAACACTTTTATTAGAGTAGCAAATCATCTTGTGGGAACAAACCCTTTTCTGTCATCACAGAGACAGTAAACAAGACGAATGTTTTATCATTTATACACTGTATTATATTTAAAAATAGAAAAATTTTTTCACATATTCAGATGACAATTATTTTCTCTTAATAAACAAAAATGACGGAGTGTAATTTATTGTTCTTGAAAAAAAAGTTGTGAAATAACAAAAATATAATGATAATAAAGTATTATGGTAAGCACAAAATTATCAACGCTTCAACTCTCATCCTTTCTAGCTCACGAAATCCCACTTGGTAAAGCCAGCCTGGATATTTTACGCGAATATCTAGATGGAAAACGACAGACGTAATCTTTCAGGATTGGCTTTTTAGTTCTGCTCGTTTAACGCTGCTTTCCTTTTAGCTTGTTAGCTGCATCAAAGTTACAAATAGTAAAAGCATGTAGGGATAACCTAGTAAATTGTAAAATGGGAAACTATTTCAAAAGTAGAAGTTTCTGATGCTCTGATGATGATATCATTA